AAAGATGTGTACATAAAACTGCAAGTATATTAAAACTTATATGAGCAAAGACAATGTTTAAATCTGAGGCTCCTCTGATTTTTCTCATGTGAATTAGAACCAGAATTCAAAACTGCACATCTAAACCTTTTTGCCTAAAACAATCTCTTACCAGAAAAACAAAGCATATGTATTCCCCTTCCTTTAATATCTAAGTATTTTTCCCTGTAAGTTTTACATTGTACTAAGTTCTTTTTCCTCTTTATTCACTAGAAATTCACTTGAAATTAAATTTAGACTCTGCTAATTATTATTTATATGTCCTTAGAGAAGTTAGTTAACCAGAGATGCGGATAGTTATATGTATTGTATAGGATTATTGTGAGGAGAAAATGAAATGATACATTTTAAATGTTAGGAGCAGAAAATGAAATGATACATTTTAAATATTGTGTTGAAACTTCAATTAACTTTAGTTTCGTCCTCCTCTCCTAATGTTTGAGAGTAGAGAAAAAAAAGTTTTACCTGTAAATATTTATTCCAAAACTAAGGTGCATGGTAACTGTAGAATTTGTCAAAAGGAAAATTTCAGAAAAAAAAAATTGGTAGAGTAAATCTAGTATGAGTCCCAAGTTTTTTCACTTATACCAAGCAATTTAAATAATTCCAATGACATGGCATACTTTTTAAATGTTATCTTAAGATATGATAACTTGGAAAACATAGTGAAAGAATCAGCAAATAATTAACATGATTTACACTGGAAAAGATCTAGTTAGAAGGGAAGGCAATGTGGAGGTATATAGGAAAAAAGTATATGACATTAAAAAAGCAACATGGCAGGCACATATAGTGCCTGATCAGTAATCACACCCAACTTAATAAATATAAATACTCCAATCAAAAGGCATATATTGTCAGAATAGACTTTTTAGAAAAATGATCCAACCACATGTGTTGACAATAGACACATTTTAGATTTAAAGACACAAACAAGTTGAAAAATAAAAGGATAGAAACAGATATACCATGTACACAACGATAAAGAGAAGTGCAGTGTCTGTACTAATACCAGACAAAATATGGACTTCTTGCAATGATAAAAAGATCCAATCATGAGGAAGACATCATATTATAAACATACAGGCATCAGAGGCTGAAAATATATGAAGCAGAAACTGACAAAATTGAAGGAAGAATTAAAAGTTCAACAGTAGATGGAAATTTAAATCAATCCTTCAAACCCCACAATCTCTTCCTCATGTAGCCAACATAATATAACTCAAGAAACCACAGTGGGGTCTGACTCAGCTTCCTGAGACTTTTGTGCCATAGCTGTGTCCATGCTTAAGTGCAGGTGTATCCCTGGATATCATATGGTAGGTTGCATCATATCATCCATATCATTACCATTTGTGCTTTTCTAAAGGGCATATTTTAAAGATTAAAGATTTAAATGATACGCATTTAAACACAACTGCATCTTTAAAAAAGTTTTCAGGCATGGTAACACATTACTGTAATCCCAGTGACTCAGGAAGCTGAGGCAGGAAAATTATAGATTATAGAGTTCCGCCCCAGCAATTTAGCAAGACCCTGCTTCAAAACGACAAATAAAAATGGCTGGGGATCTAGCTGAGTGGTTAAGCACTCCTGGGTTCAATCTCTGGGTTTAGGAAAAAAAAAAACTAAAGTACCTATAACCTCCCACTCAACAGTTACTCAGTGATATTCACTGCTCCTTTGGATATTCTATTAACATTGCTCAATCAGATTCAGGAGATGTTTTATCCTATGATTATATACAGTTTCAGAGAGTGACTATGATTCCTATACTGTATCCTCCCAAGCTGGTCACTGTTAGTTTACAAATGGTTGTTTCTGGTTTTTCAACTATTTTCAGTAGTCTATTTCAGTATGAAATATTCAGCTATTAATTTACCCTTGAAAATTGTATCTATTGCTTTACAAATTTTCTTTGAATTAACAAAAATCTTCAGACTAGTACAAACTCTTCATGCAAAGGAAATTATGAAGACAGATTCAGTTGTATCTCTGAATCTTGATCTTCATAATTTTATACATTGTGCAGCACAGTTCATTGGAGTTTTTTTTTAGTAATTTACCATGTTTTCATTTGTCATGATTCTTTGCCACTTTTTACCTTTTTCATTATCTGACCTTAATTTTTCAGTTTCCTTTACTAACTGTTTCTGCCATTTATTAATACTTCTCTAAATTCCACAATAGGCCCACTTTTTGTTTTTCTTTCATTCCTAGGAAATTTAATTCTCCTTTTAAAGGCCTATAAGCCAATGATCCCCAAATCTCTAAACTCTTATTAGAAAGCTATTCTACATTCCAATCTCTATTTCCACATTCTTAGTCAATTCATTGGCATATTTCACAGGCATCAATTTCAAATATTCCTGAAATACTCAAATACAATCCCCCAGGTCCCTCATCAACAAATCTTCCTGTTGTATTCATTGCTTCCATTACTACACCAAGATCTATTTCTCACTTGAGTTATCCTTAATCTTCCCTATTCTTATTTACATCTAATTTTTCTCAAATATCATCAATGTATCCTCTAAAATGTCTCAAGACATTTGTGATACATTTAAAACAGCCACAAATTATTTTCCACTACTCCTGCCATGAAGTAGTCAACCTCTCCTTTTACTTTGACTGCATTTGGACATTTGACTTGATTTGGCCAATGGGATCAACAAATGTGACCCCACTAGAGGCTTGCTAAGCACATGTACCTTGGGCTAGTTCTCTTGGAACTATTCTATGATACCACCATGATCTAAAGAAGCTCATCTAGCCTCAGGGATGAGAGGCCACATGGAAGAGAGAAGAGAGGCCTTTGCCCACAGTGGGCACCAATAGTCAGATATGTGAGGGAATCTACTTGGAATGTGGCTGGCAGATATTCCAGCCATGACGTGATTTCAATCACAGGAATGAGTTCAAGCAAGACCACCAGTAGAACTATATCCAGCCAATCCATAGGTCAATGAGAAAAAACAAATGATTCTTTGCTGCAGCCACTTGTTGTGAAGTGGTTTATCAGGCAACAATAGTTAAACAGAAAGAAACATGATCTTTTTTCTTTCTTTGCCTGTCCTACTGGAGGCTCACCACTCTCTTCTGTAAATCCTGTATGTTCCTTTCCAATTCATCCAAAAACTACCATTTTATTACATTATCTATAATCATATCATCCTCACACTTAGAAACTTTCAGTAAGCTCATTACTAAGAACAACAGCCCAAGTAATGCTCTCTACTCAACTTATTATTCCAGTCTCATTCTCTCCACATCTACTATCCTATATTTCTGTAAGATTTTGACATGGTTTTATCACAACTTATCATCTATTTACATGTTATTTATGAATTTATTCCACCACCTAGACTATTTTAATGACCACCATACCTAAAACACTATAGACATTAAATGACTGTTGTATGAATATTTTACAATGACCAGGAACTGAGTTTTACATTGTTTTGAGTATCAGTCTTGAAAACAAGATACCTTTCTGACCAATATATAGATGAATAAACAGGTTCAAAAACATTGAACCCTACTCAAGTCTAAAAACAGTGGAGCCCTTAAATTAATGTGTACATAGTTGATTCCTGGAAAAGTAAACTTTGCACCCTTTAGTCTCCACTTTCAAAACATTCTAAATTTGTCTTTTCCTAAAGAAAATTTAAATTTGTGTCAAACAAAATCAGGCTCTATCAGTGCTATATAGTTCTAAATAATATCTTTTTTAAAAATATCTTTATTTTTATTTATTTACTTTTATGTGGTGCTGAGGATTGAACCCAGGGCCTCAAGCATGTGAGATAAGCACTCTACCACTGAGCTACAACCCAGCGCCTAAATAATATCTTTGATTCAATTTTTAAATATACAATGAATTCTTTTTTTTTAGTCTAATGTAAAATTGTATGGTCATCAAATTGACAAATAATGCTTCTTATTGAGATCAAACCTTCAATAGCCCAATCCTCTCCCCAACTATCTTCAGAGAGAGCTTATCATTCCTGTAGGGTCGGTGTGGTAAAATCAACATAGTTAATCTTCACGTGTAACAGTTGGCTAAGAGCCAATGGAATCAAAAGGGCAAGTCTGAGCAAGGAAGAAAACAGGCAAGTGTAGACCAGCTCAGGAGTAAAATGCTCCTAAATAGATGTAATATATGGCAGTTTCTATTTTGTACAGAATGAACAATTCTAATGGACTAAGGAAGTCCCTCATTGGTTCTCCCATTTACCTTATCATGTCATGGGTATTTTACTTAATATCTCTAAGTCTTGATTAACTTTCCTGAAAAATAAAGAGCCATTATGCCTCACAAGGTTGATGGTGATTTAGCTTAAATATTATGTACATAGAGTATGTTGTACAATGTCTCATATATAGCAAGAAAGCAATAAATTGTAATAATTGTAGTTGTTGTTAAGTAAGGTTTTCAGGATAAATAGAGCAAATGCTAATAATCAGTACTGGAATGTTGAAATGATATCACTTAATCAAAGCTGGTTTGTCAACTATGGTATTAGTATGTTAGTGTTGTCCTAAGTTAAGAATGTGGGGAAGACATTGGCAAGATTGTGTAAAATGCTCATGGCTAAAAAAAAAAAAATCACATGGCAAAATAAATGAAAATTGATTTGAACAGGGTCAGTTCCCTTCCTACAATTTGGAAGAAGCACTTCCTTAAGGAACTTGAGCACTTGGTTATAGAAAAACAGAGATTTGATTTACATTAGGGAAAGAGCTGTTGGGTTGTTGGCTAATGGTGTCCACCACAGTTGTCTCTATATCTTTTCTGCACTTTCTCATCTCTGATTCTTCAACCCACTTCAATATGACATCTTTCCCCTTTGTTCTTGAAGTCACCATGGATTTTTCTTTTCCTTCCAATTTTAGTTTTTAATGAACTTATAAACAAAAAAGCTCCCATTTCAAAATTTTTAAAAACTCAAGATCATATAGACATTTACAATGATTATTTATCTAAGCAACATACATACATGTTCAGTTGTAAGATGTGAACTAAATTTCTATAACAAATATGCTTTTTTAAAAATAGCAAGAGCATTATAGAGTTAATGCTGAGACCTAAGGAATAATCTAGTAGTCACTAAATCTTTACTTTAGATGCTGTTATTTCTAGCACAGTAAGCTGGCATAATCAAACACTGGAATCTCTGGTTGCTACATATAAAGAATGTGTTAAGTGAACAATTTGCAAATCCCAGGGGTGGAAAAACCCTAAGAATACACAATCGTGGGCATTTTTAACCATCACAACTTTGGCTGAAGACTGTTCATGCTGTTCTTCTGAAATGAGATCTCGAAGCAGTACAACACAAAATGAAAGGTTTTAACAAACAAACAAAAAGTACATGCACAATTTCTCCACCAATTTGAGTGTCAACCATTTAGTTAAATTTTTCACTTAAAAAAATGCAATAGCAAACCAGACACCATTTCACTGTTAATATTCACAATTACAGAGGCTAAACTCATGATACAGCATCAACAATGCTTCCCAGAGCCAGTTTATACTGAAATTAAGTTCTTTACTTACACCAAGTAAATGGTGGTCCACAACCACTGGCTAGTTTACATATGAACTAAAATTTCTAGATTTGGGGAGAAACAAATGCTGCTTCAATCATCTGCTCTGCTTCTTCTGTTCTTCAATTAATGCTTAGAAACCTTTCATGTTACTCTTGGTTTTGTTGGTTTGCTTGCCTGTGGGGGATTGTGCCGGCTGACCCTGCCCACTGGAAAAGGCTGCCTGCTATGCTTTCTGCTTTAACTTCTTCGTCCAATCAAATATGTAGTCATAATGGTAGTTCAGAGTCCTGAAAAGGATGCGGAATAGCTCCTTCAGATACTTGTAATCTGGGACTTCCTCAAAGGGCAGCCTACGACAATAGTTTAAGTATATAGCAAATTCTGCAGGAAACCCTTTACATAAAACTTCAACAGAAGTGGACCTCTTCTTTTCACTGATCTTTTCATATATTTGTTTCTTTGTTACAGCATTTAGTCCTTGCCATGGCAGATGGGTTCTATTAAAATACATCAAAACATATCCTAATGATTCCATGTCATCTCGGCGACTCTGCTCAATACCAAGATGTGCATTGATGCTAGCATATCGGGCAGTGCCAGTGAGGGGTTTACCTTCCACATATGGTATGTGTTGCTTGGTCTTGTCGTTTCTGTACCTTTTGGCCAAACCAAAATCAATAAGGAATAACTTATTACGGTCATTCCCGATACCCACTAGTAAGTTATCTGGCTTAATGTCTCTGTGTATAAAATTCTTTGCATGCACATATTCAATTCTACTAATCATCTGGTCAGCTAACATAAGTACAGTTTTCATTGTGAACCTTCTTGAGCAGAAATTGAAGAGATCTTCAAGGCTGGGTCCCAGAAGATCCATGACTAACACATTATAGCCTTTTTCCTCACCGTACCACCAGATGTGGGGGACGCCAACCCCACCTTCAAGAATCCTATAGATTTGGCTTTCGATTACCAACTTGGAAAACTGGGTCTTCTGAGATTCTACCTTCACTGCCACTTCCTGTTTGGTGTTGATGTTAAACGCCAGATAAATGTCCCCGAAGGTGCCATACCCTATCTTCCGTACCAGTTTATATTTCTCTCCGACAACAATTTCGGCCTTGGAGCCAGTGCTGCTCGCCTTCCGGACAGACGAACATGGAGACTGGATCCAAGTCCTGAGGGGAGGACAAAGGTGGCGGGGGCTCTTCCACCAGGCAAGGCTGCGGAGGAGGTCAGTAGACAGTGGGAAACTAAGGCCTTTTCAGGCGTTACGGGGCCTAGAATCAGCCCAGGGAACCCCAATCACCGCCACGCAGTTAGGTTTCTTTTAGGCAGGCCGCAGTCTGAGTGGTTCTCGCGGTTACTTAGGCCACTTGTTTCTCGGCGGCCACCCCAGCCTCGCTTTCATGGCGTGTCCCAGGCTGAAAAGGGGGCGTGGTGAGTTAGGGCAGCTATACAGTTGCCACCACTGCCGCTGTGTCCGGCCAGGGTAGGCCCCTGTCACTCCTCCGACGCCGCCATCTTGTTTCTCCAGCGCCAGCCAACACAAAACGCCCTCCGGCCCGGAAGCCGCTTCTTCACGTCGCAGAGCATGCTGGGAAAGGGATCTAGGGCTCCAGCCCGGAAGGGTTGACCTTGAGAAGAGGGCGGAGCCAGATCTTGGAGAGTCGCATGCAGCCCGTGCTCCTAGCGTCATTGCATAGACATGCAGCAGCCTCACCATTGATTTCAATTTGCCAAATTCTAATCTACAATTTTTAGTCCTCGTCTTGTACCTCCCAAATGATGTGATTACTCACTGATTCTAGAAATACTCTTTGTACCATGGGATGCAAAACTTTACTGGTTTTCTTCTTCACTGGTGTCTCCTTCCCTCTTGTTACATGACTTATCCTCTTTCATCTGACCTGTCCTCTTTTATCTGACCTAATATGACTCAGAACTTTCATGTTTTCTTTCCTGCCACCTATATGCCCCAAACGCGGAAATTATATCTCTAACCCAAATTTCCAGACCTATATGTGCCTTACTTGACAGGTTTGCTTGATCATCTCACTAACATCACAAAATTAACATTTCTGAAACTGAACTTTTCAGTTTCTTTCAAACCTTTCGTCTCTAGCATCAAATTACTTCAATAAATCACTCACACACACACACACACACACACACACACACTTCTTAAGCCAAAAATCTGGACACATCTTCACATCTCTCTCTTATTCCCACTTTTAATGACCAAAGCCCACTGATTTTTAAATAAAGATAGACACAGAGAGAGAGAATTTTAAAATATTTATTTTTTAGTTTTCGGTGGATACAACACCTTTTTTGGTATGTGGTGCTGAGGATCGAACCCAGGCCGCATGCATGCCAAGCCAGTGAGCTACCGCTTGAGCCACATCCCCAACCCAAGGCCCCCTGATCTTACCTTCAAAATACCATGTTACTCTCCATTTCACTGCTAATATCCCCGCTGTTGCAGTTCTTTCACCCAGAACAAATGCAACGGTCTCTGATAATGTCTATTTTCTTTTACTCTTAGCTCATTCCAATGCAATGTCTGTAGAGCAGCAGCCTATGTGGTCTTTTAAAGATATATTTGTTTTTATTTTTATGTGGTGCCGGGGGTCAAATCCAGTGCCTCACTCAGGCTAGGCAAGCACTCTAACACTGAACAACAACCCCAGCCCTCTTTAAAGATACAGACGAAATAGTGTGGATACCCAGCAAAAATCATCCTGTGACCTTCCCTTGCATCAAACATCTCTGTGACACTAGGGCCTGCGTGATGTGTCCACTTCAAACTCATCTATCTCCTCTCATGCTACATTTGCCCTCACTAATTACTTAAGTCATCTTGGCACTTTTTTCTTTCTTTCTTTCTTTCTTTTATTTTAGTTTCCTTATTGTATCACATTCTCCCAACTGCAAGGACTTTGTCATGCCATTCCCTGGAAAGCTATCTATACACATCCTGCCTTCCACAAACAAACCACTCTCTTTGCCAAACTCCTACTCTTCCTTCAGAAAGGCCTTTTCTGTCTTATTCTTGCTTTTAATCTTATTAGAATACATCAATTTATCTCTGTCAATTATTTTAAATTATAATTTATTTTTATTGGTGTATTATAATTACACATAATTGTGAAATTCATTATGCCATATTTGTACTCACAGGCAACACAATTTCATCAATCTTATTTCCAGTACTTTTCTTTTTTCTTTTCTTCTTCCTCCCTCTGATCTGCTTGCTCTACTCTACCAATCTCCCTTTCATTATTATTATTATTTTAATTAGTGAATTATAACTATATATATATATGTAAGCAGGGCATATAAATACACATATATTTCTGTATACTCACACATGGAAAATCTATGTCAATTATTTCAGGGGAAATGATATTAGTAACATTTTATCTTTAACTTCTCAAATAGGAAATCCCCATTATTGTAATAAATAATATTTTTGGCAGGGAATTGGCAAGCCATCTTAATCAGAAAACTTTCTGGCTGACAATCACACAAAATTGAGACCACAAAGCATATCTTAAATGTTTCAGCACTTGGATTTTCCTAAATACTTCTTTTAAGTTCTTTCTGAACAACTTACACAAAGATCAAAACATGCTAATTTCAACATTGCTGGCCAAAATCATAAAAGAGCATTTTAAAAAGCATATGGATACATTTACAAACTTATAAACAACAAAATGTTTCATGGCTTTACTGAAAAGAGTCAATAAGATAAAAGATTTTCCTTGTTTGTAAAATGAAAAGATTAAACAAGATGATAGTGAAGATATCTTCAAGCTCTGAAAATTCTAATGTTTGTGACCTTAGAATAAATAAATAATATATATTTCCTCTTCTCACCAGAAAAAAATTCTTATTTATATGTTTCACCATAACAATGGTTTTACTTTATATTTTTAATATGTAGTGTATTGAACTGGCTTATTTTTGCTTCTCTTAAAAGTGTAAATAAGAAAAAAGTAACTTACTATCCATTTTTAGCATAAACAAGTAGCCAAGTTGAAGTCAGTCTCCACTCCAACTTTTTTAAACATACATATACCCTCCACCACCACCCCCAGGAAGTCCATAATGGATACAATTATTCTACTCCTATTGAGGACAACAGAGAGCAGCCTCCAGGAACCACAAAGTAAACACAACTCCTCCTAGAATCCATTTCATGATCCTGAAATATCTCCTCTGATAGCTCAGCTAAAGCTTATGCCCATGAACTCACTTTGCTCAGATCTTTATCCATAACCTTTGAAAGTGGTGCTAATAGTTAACAGAGTCAAAAATAAAATAAAATTAAGGATGCTGCTAATCCAGCAAAAATTCTAGAACTGTATATGGTTAAGTCCAAGTCACTTCAGTCATTAGATCCTCTTATAAGTATCAATGGTAGGAAATAGTGTCATGAGGTATTTATGGGAAGCACTATGTGTAAATCTTGTAACAAGCCCTGGGGTACCTGAGCAAAGTCACCCAATTTGCAATGGAGAATATATGTCTTGTGAAATGCAACTCTTGGTATGTTACTGAGCTACAGTACAAATTAGCAGGCAGACTATGGGAGAACAAATGACTACACAGCTAGAATTTCCTATCATTAGCTGAATCCTGTCATATCTGCTAACTCCGATGGCTGAGAACCCATGTCATCACTACTGCAGTGCACTTTCATGCCCAGATGGGGATCCCTGAGGAGTAGTTTATGAGTATGCAAATATCTAGCTGTGGCTTAGAGATGGGTCAGACTATCATGGCCTCACTCATAAGTTAGCAATTAGTAGAAGTTTTTTACAACACACTGGTTATCTGCTTCAGATTAAAAAAAAAAAAAGTGGTCTGAGATTATGACATATAAGGAGACAATGACAATGACAAATAATCAGCTAGCTGATCAAAGTTTTAGAATAACAAAGATTAGAAAGATCAAAGACATAGAAGTCTGGTGGAAAATAATATACATGGATAAACGTATTGTGGACATAAGTGTGAAGTCTTTGTATTAAAATTTTGCACCAATCCAAGAGCTCGCACCATAGAAGAAGCACTAAGTAACCAGGCAGCCAAAAGGACTCAGCTGATGTCAGCCAATCTCTCTCTTTGGCCACTCTGATGCCGAAACAATGGACACATGAAGAAGAGATAGAATTTAGGCATCAGCTCAATAGCATGGGCTCCCACTTTTCATGATGAATGTAGCTACTTCTGTCTCTTAAAGTCCAACTTGTCAGCAACAAAAACTGATGCCAAATCCATGATATGGCACCGTTCCACAAGAAGGCTGTTTGGCCACTCATGTCACTTGTACACAGAAAAGACATGTGTTCTAGTCAGCTTTTTCACCACTGCGACCAAAAGACCTGACATGAACAACATAGAGGAGGAAAATTTTAACTGGGGCTCATGGCTTTAGAGGTCTCAATGTATAGATGACCAACTCCATTGCTCTGGGTCCAAGACGAGGCAGCACATTAAGGCAAAAAGGTGTGGCAGAGAAAAGCAGCTCAGGATATGGCACCAGGAAGCAGAGAAAGAAAGCTCTGTGACCTACCTCCTCTAACCACACCCCACCTGCCTACAGTTACCTACCTACAGTAGATTAATACCCTGATTAGGTTAAGACTCTCATGAACCAATCTTGTAACCTCTAAACTTTCTTGCATTGTCTCAAACGTGAGTTTTGGGGAACACATCATATCTAAACCATAACAACATGTGATTGTCTCTGGTAGGAATAGATCTGAGTATGGATTTGTCTTTCCTGCCCACAGTCTCAGTCAATATTACTATCCAAGAGTTCATTTTATTTGCACTGAATATGAGCTGAGTAAGTAAGGGAGTGGGCACAGGACAAAAAGATGCAGTAGTCAAAATATGTTCTGTAAGCAGCCATCCTGACAGAGTGTTTCAACAACCTCATGAAGGCATTAGTGAAGCTCCATTTTAGAGGTGTTGTTTTATGGAAGTGGGGCTATATCCTCCAGAATGCAATATATACTATGATTCAAAGATTTCCACGTTGTGTTCTGTTCCCAGCAAGAAGGCATTGAGAAAAACAGAGAGGAATAACCCTGCTTACCATCACCCTCAATATCACTTGGAAATTTGTATCTCCCATCCCCCAAGCAGTTTAAAAGTCCTGGTCCCCAAAGAGGAGTACTTCTTCCAAGGGACACAGCAAATGTCCCATAAAGCCATAACTATGGCTTCCCTTGGCACTTCATGTGTCCAGAAACCAGTAAGAAAGAAGAGGAGTCATCACCTTGGCAGGGTAATTGGCCCTTATCATCAGGAAGAGACACACTATTATGTAATTAGAACACAGAGAAACATGTATAGAACCCATGAGTGGGCATCCCTTTGTAACCTGTGAAAATTATTAGTGTAAATGAACAAGTTAAACAGCCCCAGCCTGAGAAAGTCACAATGATGAGGGTCATAAAGTCCTCAATGTTAGGGTTTGATTCTCACCATGCCAAGTCACCAAGAGCAACAAAGGGCTAAGCGGCAAATGGTAAGGGGAATCTAGATTAGATAATGTTTTGGGAAGGTATCAGGACTCTGAGACCAGCTTCAGCAACAAGAGTAAAGTGGGAATCACTACCTCTCTAAGTTCCTCCTGGAATAAGACTATGGAATTATGGAGGACAGCTATTTCTATCCAGG